CTGGCCATGAGCCTTTCCACAAAGACTATCAATTAACATGTTCCAGAACTCACTTTTTCAAGAAGAAAACGTTAGGGAACTACTTTATTCTAGTGGTTCTTAAAGCATGGTTCATCAGCTTTATTGAGGGTTTATTCCAAATGCAAAATCTCAGGCCCCACCCAGACCTACAGAATTTGAAACTATGGGGTTGGGACGCAGCATCTGTGCTTCATAAGCCCTGCAGGTTATGGTGACTCACGTGGGAGTTCGAGAAACACTGTTCCGGTCTAAACTGCTACCACTTCCTCCTTACTGCATAGCAGCCTGCAAGTCTCCACAGAGCACCCAATTATAAACCATCATGTCCCCACTCAGCCAAAACCCCTCCAACACACTGCAGCTTGAATAAACCCCAAGTGCCTTATGGGAGATACCATAGTGGATGTGGCCCCCCACTCGCCACTCCATTCTTACCCTGAATTATTCTATCCCTTGTTTACAAGCTTCCAGAGACACTACTCCTTTATATTCCTGGAACACTGGAAGGCTGTTCCTGTTCCAGGGCCCTCCTGTGCCCTCTGCCCAGAATAGTCCTCCATGTTCTCCCCTTCCCCCGACATCAGCACGGCTAGCTCCTTCTGTAATCCAGGTCTCAGTATCAATGTCACCTCCACGCTCAGTCCCCTGTGATGCTCTACAGGACGCAGTTTCACTGTCTTCACTGGGGTTACGATTTTGCTCTGATTTTGTTTGCTTATAAGCTCCATCAGAGCAAGAAGCAGGTCTTGCATTAAAAAATAGTTGCTAGATGAATATAGTCTGTCTACAGAGCTCTAGTTTTACCATTTTTACTTGTGGTTTGTGGTCAAGTGGAAGCTGCCCAATGCCCTTTTGGCCCCACTGAATGACCTCTGAGCTGCATGTGGTCTCCAGCTTCAAAAGATGGGGACATAGCATCCCTTATTTAGCTCTTTCCCAATATGCCAAATAGTAATGTCTTACTGGAGAGAAGACTATGCCAACTTCCTTTTGGACATTAAGAAACATGTCAAGAATCAAATGACTTTTAGAAAAATGTAGGTAATAATTCAATAAATAAAGTCATCTTAGTTGTTTTTCATGGATTTCAAGAAGGGTGTTTTCATTCTGATTAGAAAAAAATGGAGCCTAAACAAATTTTTACTTTAATTTCCTTAAACTGCCCCAAGTAAAATATTATTCATTATGGTGTATTCCAACAGGCTTCCCTCCTGTAGAATCGTATAAAGTACAAGGAATTGTTATGAGATGTGCCAAATGTACCAGCATTTAGCATTTTTGTGACCTTGGTCACGTTTCTCAGCTTCTCATAACCCTGGGTTTCTGCATCCACTGAACCTGGATCACAAGAAGTTACAGCAGAGTAATTAAGAGAATTAAGGGGGATGACATTTGTGAAAGTTTTTTGAATGTTAATTCATGCCAACTGTTCTGAAAAGCCCTTTAGACATGTTATCCCTTTCATTCTTATTCACTACAGGTACTATTATTTCCATTTTACAGAAATTGAAGCCCAGAGATTAAGGACTTTGCCTGAGGTCACAGAGTGGCAAGCACTGGCTCAGCGGCTGGGTTTTCAAAGTGAAGTTTTTCTAACTGAAAGTTTCTTGTCCTTAATCATCAACCCTACTGCTTGTGAAAAGCCAAATACCAGCTCCATCTACCACCCAGCAGGTGTTCTACAGATGTCAGTTTACCTTCCCCAGACTATCAACAGTGCCCCTGGTTCTCTTCCCGTGCTAGACCGCCATGAGGCAGTGACATCTGTCTGCCACAATCCATTTCACAAGGTTTATCTCTTGATGGAAAAGTATTCCAGTCTTCTGAGAGAAGATCATTCAAATCCTTTCAGCCTACAGAGGACTCCCATAATGGCCTACACAGTCCCTCACTGCCTGTCTTTACTCTTTCTAGGCTAAGTCATATACGGCGCTCATGGCGCGTTGAAGGTCTGTGCTGTGTGATGCGCTGTAGCAGAGACGAGATGGGCTCTGGGATCAAAGAGGCCAAGGCCCCATGACTCATCTGTGCCATGGACTAGCCTGATGACTCTGCACACATTTTATTTCCTGAGTATGTTTCCTCCACTAGAGATGGGGAGAAAATCCTGTCTTACAACCGTTGCGACACTTCACGCCTGGCACGCTGCGGGCACTCAGCAGCATTACTTCCCTCCTTCCCCTCACTTTGCCCCACTCTTTTGATAAGCTCTCCTGTTTTAGGCATTGACAATGTCTCTTTTGTATTCCAACAAAGCTTTTGACAGTACTTTAAGAGAATGGGACTTGTCCGTGAAATGAATGCTGCATGTCCAGGTGGCCATCTGGGGAGGTGACAGGTCCCTTTTGATGATACATCACTGCTGAGGGAAGCATGAGAACTTTGCTATTAAATCACTCTTGGAACCAGTCTGAGTCATTCAAGAAAGGTGACTTGTTATTCAGGTTTTTTTTTTTTTTAAAGATTTTATTTATTTATTTGACAGAGAGAGAGAGATCACAAGCAGGCAGAGAGGCAGGCAGAGAGAGGAGGAAGCAGGCTCACTGCAGAGCAGAGAGCCCGATGCGGGGCTCGATCCCAGAACCCTGAGATCATGACCTGAGCCGAAGGCAGAGGCTTAACCCACTGAGCCACCCAGGCGCCCCTGTTATTCAGGTTTTTTTATAGTTCACCACCCACACCCCCGACTCCTTAACTCTTTACTGGTGCCCCTTGTTATCGCAAAAGGAGGTCTATGCTCAGTTCTGGGAAGGGTGCAACTTTATGGTATTTTTTCCAAAAAGAAAAAAAAAATATATATATATATATGACAACCATGCTCCTTATTTATCACCTTGGGTTCAAATGATCTTACTATTTCTAACAATTAAAACCATCACAAAAGGATGAAGTTCTGAAGTGAGGAAAGACTCCAAAAATCCAAAGGTAATTCCAAAAGATGACTTCCACCACTGATCTGACACAATGGAAACCACATGGATATTTAGGTATAGCCTCTGATGGAGCCTATTTTGAAGGGAACTTCATTTCGATTCATATGTTCAAGTTAGATTATCTTAAATAGTGAAGTAATATGAAACTTAGCTGTGTAAAAATACTGTGGTCAGCTCAAGCAGGATTTATTGTGTATTCCTCATCAGCCAAAACTATTCCAGAAGAAATGCTTTAGATTGTTATCTGGAAACTTTTTAGACTGTATACTCTGCCAGTCATTGAATTTTGAATGTGCACCCCAAATTTATGTATGGTTACTTAATTTATATGTTATATGCATATTCTTTAAATTATAATAATATGCATGTATTTGTAAAGTAAGTGCATTATAAAACATAAAAAATACAAATTGTAGGACAAAATGTGTGTGTATACGTTTGTGCACACGTGTGTATACACATTATCTTTTTTCCTTATCTCTGTGGAGCATCTTGTATATCTGCACATATTCATATATCCTACTTAGGAGACTGTGGTCTTAAATGACAATGACTGTGATAAAGGGGCTAAGGCCCATTTTTTCTAAATAGCTGTTTTTTTTGTGTTTTTCCTTTTTTTAAAGATTGTATTTATTTATTTAACAGACAGAGATCACAAGTAGGCAGAACAGCAGGCAGAGAGAGAGGGGGGAAGCAGGCTCCCTGCTAAGCAGAGAGCCTGATGCGGGGCTCGATCCCAGGACTCTGGGATCATGACCTGAGCTGAAGGCAGAGGCTTTAATCCACTGAACCACCCAGGCACCCCTAAATAGCTGTTAAGCAAAACTGTTACCTTTCATATTTGTTTAGTTACGTATATTACTTAAACCAAAAATCAAATACAGGGCAGATTCACCAAGAGCACATCCCATGAATATTTCAAGGAGGAAATACTTGAGTGTAACTCATCATTTCTGGTCTAGAAGACAAAACTTAACAAAACTGCTAAACACGGCATGCTGGGCTGTCATGAGACCCTCGTAAATAATGAAACACTATAAAAACACAGGGAAGGCACTTCTATAAGTGTAATATGTAACGGAGCCAAGTCAGATGTAACTCTGAATACGGTAATTGAAGGCAGACCAAACATATTCTGAGTTGACTCTAGTCAGATTATGAATCCTACAGAGTCAAAGATTCAGACAGGAATGGCCTAAACCACTGCGGACCTGACAAGTGCTTTCCCTGTCAGGGAGTTTCCCTGATCTTTGTACTAGCACTTACACAGTGTACACCAACACAGTCATAAGAAGCTAGCTAACCACAAAAAGGATGGCAAGAAAGAAAGGAAGAGGAGTCAACAGACCATCGGTCTCTGAATTTGTGTGTGCGGGGGTGTTATCCCCACTTGCTGTTCAAATGCTTATTCAAAGTTATATAAAAAAAAATACTTAGTTTCATAAATCCAAAGGATCTCTCAGACAAAAGATTATTTCCTTATTTCACCTGACATTCAATAGCAACATTTGGTGCAATAAGTGATTTCAAACAATTTCTTGAAATTTCCTTATTAGAGGATAATATATGATTTTATAATGTTGCAAGTCCATTTTAATTTACAAAATAATTTTTTCTAAAGTGATTATGTCATAGTAATAAGCTTGCTTTTGAGGCAGAAAATTCAAAGGCATTCTGAAAAGAGAATTCAATGTCGAATTATTTTTGTAAAATTTGCCGGTTCTCATTAAAGAACAATGAGCCACTGAAAATTAATTACGAACAGATTTGACAGCCTACGATAAAAACACTTAAATGTATTTAAGTTGCTCTGGATTTTTTTTTTAAAGATTTATTTATTTGAGAGAGAGAGAGCACATGAGAGTGTGCTCTGGGGGAGGGGCAGCAGGAGAGAGAGAATTTCAAGCAGACTCCCTGCTGAGCGCAGAGCCCAACACAGGGCTTAATCTCTTGACCCTGAGATCATGACTTGAAATTGCTCTGGATTTTTGAACAAAATAAAATTCCAACAAGGTGCTTTGGGGTAAAATGTCTTGATCTTCTTACCTTGCCATACTTCTGGGCATAAGACCCTGTGAGCAGTGAGTGGAAAACAATGATGGTTTCATCCAAGTCCCAGACAAACACACGCTGAAGAAAAATACAAGTATCAAAGAATTATCAAGTTCTAAGGAAACAGAAATCTCTTAGTTGAAAACATCTGACTTTGTCGTTGGGCATCATCTCAATACCATTTTACAGAAAACTACTCTACTCCATTATTTTTTTTCCAAGTTTGCCAGATGTCACTGTGATAAAACCAGAGGAGGAAGAGTGATTTAAAAAAAAAGTCATAATAAGCTTAAATATCAGATGTCCTAATTTGAATGAATTCATCTAAATATTTACTTGCAGTTAATACCCCAAAAGACACACCTGAACATAGGATACAAGTATGCTTGAAATCTTATTTTAAAATCTCACACCTCATGGATTCATGAAGTTTTGCAATTTGTGTAAAACTATTTTAAAAAATATTTAAAAAAATCATTGAGCGATCCCCAGACAGAAATTGCAAACTGTAGACCTTTGGGTTAGATTAGGCCTTCAGAGGGGTTGTTTAGTTTGCACAGTGTTTAGAAAGATTTCAAATTATTGATCAACATTTCAGGATTAGAAGGTTGCACACAAACATCAGGGTTCTGAGCACAGCAGGGAAACAGGAAGATACAACAATGCTGAATGACATTCCACGTGGCAGTGATTTGTGGGCCCTCTTCAACTGGGCCAATCCTCCCTGCTCCCCACATTCTGCCGCTGGCTCCCTGGCCCTGTTCACTCATTTCTGTCACCTTCTAGGTTCCCGAAGGCACTGGAATGTGCTACTGTCCTTCAGGTGAAAGGAGTGATGTTTTACAAAGAGGCACAATGACTATCATTTGATTTTATCAAGTCTGGAAATTTGGGTATTTTTCTTAATTGAAGGATGCAGTTGTGTAAGAAGTAACATAGTATGGTTAAGATAGTTTCCCTGATGTTTTAGAATAAAAATCAACCTGCTTGGCATGAACATATCTCAAAAAAGCTTTCAACCAGAGGAAAAGGATGCATAGAAGTTTTTATAGAGATAAAAATGTTATCATGTTATCAAATGACGGAATTTTTCCCATTTTTCAGAAGACAACTTTTCTTTTCCATACAGATTAATTTCACCTTTTTCAAATTTAATTGACCCCCCAAATTTTATTCACCCATATAAACATTCTTCATTACCTTAATACTACTAAACAGAGTGTCTCTTAGATGATTATCCCACTAACAGTGACTTTATTTTGTAAATTTCTGTTTGTGTCAATTAGGACCAAAAGATGCAATTATCTCAGGCCTGGAATTTATAAAGTTCCATCATTTTTAAGTTTTTAATTTTGCCATTACAATGGATGAAATCTCAAATTTTAGAGTTATGAAATCCCTACACGATGAGATCCACTCATTTCATGATATTTCCTTCTTTTTTTTAAGGTTGAAACCTTATGGAACCATAAGGTGTAGAATATCACTCAGTAAAATAAAACATCAGATTCCACTCCTTACGGATAAGTCAGCATACCTCCAGGTCACTGTCAGGAGGTGGGGAGGGATTGTTTTTCCGGCCTCTTCCTCGGGATTTTGACCCAGAACTCCTGCACGTTCTCTCATCAAGATCTTTGATAGGTGTGGAAGGGCTCTGCACGGTATCAAACTCTCCTAGAAACAACATGACTTGTGTCAAGAAAAGCTCTTCATTTTTAGATCAGGTATGAGTCTTTGTTATGAATTATCTTAACGAATCTTTATACAATAGAAAGCTCCTCCTGACAAAAAAGATTTATCATCCCAAATACACAAAATCCCCATTCAATTAAAAATTTTGCAGGTCCCACAAATCCCCCATAGTTTCAATCTACATGATCTATTAAACCTGAATGTGTTTTATACTCTATGTGTCTTCACCTTCCTTGTCTCTACTGTCCCCTATATATCTATCCAGATTTAGCTCTGTTCCCCTCTTTTTATGTCAGAGCTCAAAGGAGGGGATGTCTTCTTCCGGATCAATCCCATCCCTCTACCTATAAACTTGACTCCCAACCTCACCCTCTAAGGGAATCGTGCTCTATTAGTTAAAACCTTTCTTAACTTTCTTCCCACCTCTTGCTTTTCTGTGGGCCACAAACAAGTTTAAAAGTCCTTCCCTTGACCTTGCATTTTTACTTAGAAGTTATCTGCTTGCTCTCTTCTCTTTTTTAAGGGATACTCCTTAAAAGAATAGTACATTACATGACAGGGTTGTCCAAAAGAAATACGATGTGAGCCACAAATATAACCACATATATAATTTAAAATTTTCTAGAAGCCACAATAAAAAATGTAAAGAAACATGTAGAATTAATTTTATTTGTATATACTAATTGAGCCAGTATAAACACAATGTTATCATTTCAGCATGTAACCAACATGAAAATTGTCAACAACATGTTTTACATAATCTCCTTTTCATTCTAAGTCTTTGAACTCCTGTGTGTATTTTACACTTACAGCAGACCTCCAACTGTACTAGCCCCGCTACAGGTGCTCGACGGCCACTCATGGCCAATGACGACAGCAGTGGACAGCCCATGTGTCTCCACTTGCGGACATCTGATTTGTCATGATTGCTTCACCAAAACCCTAATAAAACTACTCTTACTCAGAGTCCTGTTAAGCACCTAACCAACAGATGTAATAAATAGATGCAGTCCTTATCCTTACCCTGGATGCCTGAGCTGTGTTTGATCCTCTTAAACACCACATCCTTAGAGCCATTATTTGGCTTGTGGTCTCCTAGCTCTGGAAGTTCTCTCACCAGGCCTTCTCTGTCTAGGAGACATGCACTCCTTTTCCTCCTCCCATTCCTTGTATGCTAGTATTTAAGAGTTCCAACCTTCCATCACTGTCTTCCTTATTCCACACCATCTGGACGATCTAACCCTCTCATGGGTTAATCACCTTCTCTGAGATGACCCATACATAAACCCATACGTCCAATGAGGCCGCATCCTACAGAATTTTCAGACTTTGTATCTAACTGACCTCTGCATGTCCCCTAGGTACCTGAATGTCTGACATGTCTACAACTGGGGGTGGGGTACCTTATAAGGAAAGTGTACTGAGCTGTGGCAAATCTGTGGGAGTGGGTTTGCATAAACCAAAATGACAGTGAGGTCCTCACAAGTAACAAGGGTCAGACACACTGTAGGACTTGAAGCATTTCACTCAATCTCTGTGAATCTCTTTCTTTGTATATGAAAGCATGGGCAAGAGCAGCTGCTTTCCGAATTACTGAGGTAAAAATGATTTATGTTTAATTTGATGTGAATTATATATGTAAACATTTCTAGGAGAGTCTGAGGGTAAACTACATTTAAAATTAAATTTAAATTACTACACTTAAATCTAAATATAAAGAAGTTATAACGATTATGCTTTGTCATAAAATTAAGGAAAAATAATTATGAGGACAGCCAAGTAGTTATTAATCTAAATAAACCAATCTGAACAGGCTAGACAGTATCTAGGTCGTATTTCTTCTGAGATGTTCTAAATAAACAGTCACTTTTACATAGCTCACTTGTAACTATTTCCAATGATTATAACATTATCTTTGGGAAACACTGTGCATGTCAGGACAGCACCAAAAGGAACAATGTGTCTGTGCTTCAAATATTATTTGCTCTTAAAACATTGTTAGCGTTGTTCCTATGATAGGTCTCTGTTAGCAACTGTGTCAGCGTAGACAGTGTAATAAAGGCTCCATAGTTTTCAGTTGAATATTGATTGTCCCATCTTAGGGTAAATTGTGTTTCAGCTTGCACAAATATTAAATGAGAGCTTTAGGTATTTAAATACATGCCAACTTAAAAAAAAATCACATAAAAATTCTTCTTTTAGTAGTTTTTTTAAACAGAATTTTCATAAGGTTACTATGCCCTCCAAATCAAATGTTCTTGTTCTGATAAAATGCTGATTCAAATTAAGCCCCATTTATTAAGTAAGCTTATAATTTTTTGGATGACCTCCCTCAAAAACTTGTCTTTCTACTCATGATAGATCGATTTTCAGCTGTTAGCTATCATGAGACACCTTTGCTCTTGCAAAAATGCAAGAGCTGAAAGGTTGAAAACTTGCAAAATTGCAAAGCCATTGTGATCAGTTATGGGTGGCTGACTGTCAACTGGATCCAGAAAGAAGGAGTTTGGCAGAACAACTCAGCTATCAAATGAGCTGGAGAGCCGGCTGCTGAAGAGCAGGAGGAGGAAGAAGGGAAAAGGCTGGTCATAGGCAGTGTCCGCGTTTCAATAAAAGTAGGATTTGATATCACTGATTCTTGCCAAGTTACAGAAGGATCTTAAAAGGGCTCTAAGAATCTGGACAAAATATGGACCCACGTGTTTTGATGAAAGTAAAGGCATAGCCTTTTAAGAAAACAATGAAGAGTAGCTCCACATTTATCCTTCGTATGTGTGACGCGCTGCCTTCTTTCTTAAAAAATTTACTGAAATATGTGTTTGGGCTCCATTCATTCATTCATTCTGAGTCTCCTCATGTCTGTGAGAGTCTTGCATTTTGTAGCCTGGAGCAGTTGTTTGCTTTTTCCTTCATGTGGCTAGCACTTCCTTAAATATGTATACTATGCTTTATTTGGCTTTTGTGAATGAACATTAGGTTATTTGTAGTTTTAGGCAATTACAAATAAAGCTGCTATAAACATGCTTGTTCAGCTCTTGTGGACATAAGCTCCTATCCCACCAGGGTAGATGTTTAGCGGTGGGACTGCTGGGTCAGAGAAAAGTGTCTATTCATTTTCAGTAGACACTGACCACCTTTTTCTAGTGTGGTTGTACTAATTCACTCTCTGACTAGCAGTGAGATTTCTAGTTGCTCCGCATCCTTGCCAATACTTGGCTTTGCTAGCCTTTTATGAGCTATCGTGGGGCTATGTTGGTCCCACTGTCGTTTTAATTAGCATCTTCTTGTTGAAAAATGATGTAAAACACTTTTTTTTTCTTTTTTTGCCCATTTGGTATCTTTATGATATAACTGTGTAAATCTTTTGCCCATTAAAAAAAAAAAATGGTCTGGTCCCTAGGTGGCTCAGTTGGTTAAGCTTCTGCCTCCATCTCAGGTAAAATCCCAGGATTCTGGGATGAGAGTCCTGCGTCGGACTCCTTGCTTGTCTGGGAATCTGCTTCTTCCTCTGCCCCTCCTTCCACTGGTTCTCTCAATCCCCCCACCTTCTCAAAAAAAAAAAAAAAAAAGTTATCTTTTTCTTATTGATTTGTCAGAGCTCTTTATTGTAAAACATTCTTTACATACATATGTCTGACTTAAACTTTACTTTAACCCAGTGAATCTGGTCCTTCATTATCCTCTTTTAATAATGGGAGAACCAGAGGCACATGAGATTTTAAATGAACTTACCAAGATGAAATAGCTTGTATGCAGAATGCTGGTATGATTCCAAAATTCCTGCTTTAACCACTAGGTTATCCTTTCTCTCCCAAACAACAACAGATCCTCCAGGTTTCCAGGTTACAAAGAGGTCAAACTTAAATCTGTTTCTACCCATCAAAAGAGTATACAGACCTCTTATAATTTTGTGAGGGCCAATGAATTCATCAAAACTCTCCACAGTACAGGAGTAGGTCCTGATGAGTGCACGCGTGTCATCTGGGTCCCTAGAGCAACCACCCAGGGGAACAGCTCTGACCTCTGTATCTTTGGATGGTGCTATCCTTTCTTCTGATAAAGGGCAAAACCAGGAACTTGAACTCAGCTGGTCATTAAAAATTTGTTGACACTTTTTTTTTTTTTTTTTTTTTTTAAGAGAAAGCTGTTAATTCCAGTGTCTCTGCCAAATTTCACTCAGGTGATGGCACTAGGGTACATTAATGCTGCAGGTAGGGGGAAAGTAAATTGGCAGAGAAGTTAAATATGGTCAGTCCTTTCTATCTAAATCCCCTTGTTAGCTTCACTTAAATGAAGGAGCACTTTGTCTGCCTTCCTGTCCTTGTGTGAAATGCCATGAAGCTACGGAAATTCTACTGAGTTCTGCCGAAGAAACCAGTTTCTTTACAAAGAATGAAGTGATCTTATTATATCCTTTACCTTTCTGAAGTACCTGTAAAGTTTAATTAGCTAATGTATTGTAATGCTTGCCGAGGTTTCAGAGTAGAGGAAGATACTGTTACAAATTACTGATTATTTTTCATTTTCAAGATGTTTAAAATACTGAAAGAGCGGGAGCTACAAAAATTTGTAATGTTCGTCACACTTTTTCAATGCAAATAAAAAATATAATATGCCTGAGATGATCTTTGTTAAAGGCAAAAAGAGATCTTTATAAAGGTAATATTAACTCAAATATCTGTTCTTAATCAGTATGCTAATGTTTCTTTAAATACATTGTCGAACTGCCTAATAAGGTAAAGTCAAGAACTGAATGCTATTTGCAATTTCCAAATAACAACAGTCATTACCAACTGCCCTAGGCTTTTCTTGGGCCAACATTATATGTGATTGAATAATTCTCCTTTAATTAGTACAGTAATGAATAAGTATACCTTCTAAGCTTTGGCTATTTAGATGCAACTTAATTTCCAAGTCTAAGTCAGAAGAACCACCAGCTGTCTCTTAGAGAACATAAAGTATGTTTCTATTTTAAAAACGAGAGCTGTGAACAGTTAATGATTTATAAAGAACTATGAATTTAATTGTTAAGTCTCTGTGTTCAGTCCAAAAGACAGAGCTGGTCAATGGGAAATACTTTTCATACCCTTGAACTAAGTACCTCAAAATTCATCAATAACAAAGAAAAATCCCACAGTTATAAACTGGTTGATTTGGATACATGCCAGATCTAGAAAAACAAAATCAAACTTAAAACTACCTTGCCTAAAGCGCTGGGGTCACAGAATTCCTTAAAAATCCAGATATGTTACTATTATAATTTTGGTTAAGAGAATAATACAGTTACAAGTAAAAATGATTTCTTCTTTAAATTCAACAGAAAGTCTGATAAGACCTGAACATTTTATAAAACTCTATTTGTTGGCATTAGCAATCAATGGAAAGCTAAAGAAATTGCATTCTAATAGTACTATGAGGATGTTACACATGGATGTGTCACATCCAAAGTCATACATTCAGAATACCTACATGCCTGCATTTAGTATTTTTAATGTAAGCAAAATAGCTATTCTGAATATTTATTATTCTTTAATTAATGGAAAGTGCCCATCTGTGTCTTTCCTGCAGAGAAACTTTTGTGATCACACTGAAATTAGAGTAAAATACACAACAGCAAATTCGAAGTGTTATCCAACAGATATTATATTCGAAAACCAAGTGGTTTTCACTCATGGTAGTTCTATTCTAGTGCACTCAAATACTGTCTGCTGGTCCTGGTCCTGTTACTCGGTCTCCAGTACCTTGGTGATCAAATACTTGTGTGATTTTGTTTTTAATACAGTCATCCTACCCTGTTTCCCTATGCATTTACTACAGAGAAAAATCTTTCACAGTATGATAAGACATCCCCTTATCTAAAGTATCTGTAGTATCCATTAAGCAAGTATTCTAAAATCACGTTTTCTTCTTTCCTCTTTCTTTCTTTCTCACTTTTTCTCTCTCTTTCTCTCTCTCTTTCCCTTCCTTCCTTTCCTTTTCTTCCCTTCCCCTTTCCTTCCCTTCTTTCCCTTCCCTCTCCCTCTCTCTCTCCCTCCTCCCCCCTTCCATCCATCCATCCATCCATCCTTCCTTCCTTCCTTCCTTCCTTCCTTTCCCTCCCATCCTTGCCTCCTTCTAGATTCATGCACAGGGTCTCACACATGCATGTGCGTGGTGTGGGGAGTGGCAGCAGGAGAGGGAGAAAATCTACAGCAGACTTCCTGCTGAACTGGGAGACCAATCTGGGGCTTGATCCCATGACCCTGAGATGATAATTTGAGCCAAAACCAAGAGTCTGACTCTTAATCAACTGAGCCACCTAGGCACCCCATACATTCTTTCACTTAAGGTAATATTTTTGATGAAATATAACTACTGTCTCAAAGAGGATCAGGACAGATTTAGCACATGGGATTTAAGCTGAAATGAGGTTAAGGCAAGTGAGGTACAAAGGGTGTGAAATTTAAGGGCCTTGAGAATGAATGCCTCCCTCAGTTTTGTACCCTGTCCTTCCCAGGCCTTACTTAGTCCCAGCCCTGCACAAGATACAACCACTCCGAGAGGCTGGGGTTAGATGAAAAACCTAAACAGGAGCCTTAAGGGGACAAGGACCGGAAATTCAAGAGGGCTGTGTGGTCACGGAAGGGAGGCTCTGAAGGGAAGATAAGGAGAAAGAAAGTGAAATGTAGGAGCACCAAAGACAAAGTCTAGTAGAATACTAGACAGTTTTTCCTTGGAGCCACAATTAGAGACCATATTCTGAAGAGGGAACCAAAAAGAAATACCATTATTTCATCAATTCATGATCTGAGCATATCTTGGCTATTACTTGAAGTGTTAGCTTCATTTTTACTTCTTTAGGTTCAAATTAGTTTCTTGCTAACATTCTTGTATTAGCTAGCATTTTCCCTTTCCAACACTCATACAGTTTTAATTATTTGCTTGAGATTTGTCTTGTTTGTCAAATGGAAGCTAAAGGTATGCAGAGATCTCATTCCCTACTGGAATACTGGCAGTACCTGCAACCTATTAGGTACTCATAAATAATTGTTAAATGGCCTTAAATCTTCTTGGAATCACGGGTCCACTTAGAAAGAATTTATAGTGTTGTTACCATGTTTCTTCATCTTCTTGTCCTTCCAACTGGACAAAAAAAAGATAAGTCCAACTGGACTTTTTTGTCCAAGTGGACAAAAAAAGATAAGTTTGGATCTTGCAAATAACTGAAGTGAGAAAAAAAGAGCTTGAACATACTAATGGTGACTATAAAAATTCTTAACTTCATTTTTCTTATTGAATCTTGGTAATACTTTATATATTCTAGATGCAAGCCCTTTATCAGATATATGTTTTCCAACTATTTCCTCCAAATCTGAGGCTTGTGTTTTTATTCTTGTGATAGTGTCCTTCAAGGAACAGAAGTTCTTGATTTTACGAAGGCTTATTTCCTTTCTTTTAGAGATTGTTTTTTTAATGTCATACTATGAAATCTTTATGTAACCCATGGCTGCAAAAATTTCCACCGTGTTCTCTTCTAGAAGGTTTATAGTTTTAGTTTTTATTCGTATGGTATATGGTGTGAGTTACAAGTCAAGATTCTGTCTCGGGATTTGTTTTTTGTTTGTGCTATTGTTGTTGTTATTTTTGCATATGGATGTCTAATTTTTCCAGTACCATTAAAAAAACAAACAAACAAAAAACCCTTTGTTCTCCAACGATTTCACACCTTTGTCAAAGTTCCATTTTTGAGTGTATGCTTACAGGTCTATTTCTGGACTTTCTATTCTACTCCATTATTCTATGTATCTATCCTTTTGTCAATACCACACATTTTTGATAACTGTACTTCATAATAAGTCTTGAAATCAGGCAATGTCAGTCACCAAACTTTGTTCTTATTTTTCAAAATTATTTCAGCTAATCTAGTTCCTTTGCCTTTCCTTTTAATTTTAGAATCATCTTGATGACTTCTCCAAAAAGTCCTGCTGGAATTTTGAATAAGATTACAATGAATCTTTATTAAATTTGCCTTTAGCTTGAAATACTTCAGCTGTGTCAGCAAATTCAAGTTCAGTGGCACTGCAGATAAGCTTCTGACAACGAAGAATACAACGGATCTTAAGTAAGTGCTAATCAGAGAAAGATATTAAACTACCTACCAATGATCCTACACATCCTAGGAATGTAGGAAATGTTCACTGCCCGGAGCTCATGAGGATTCACAAAGTTGAAAGAGCTACAAAGGCTCTCAAGCTTAAAGGAAATACTATTAGTTATACCCAAAGAAAATAATATTACTACAGCCTTTCCATATTGTCATGATCTTTACAAAAGAAAGGATTAGTCAGGCAAACGTTCCACTGACCTTTTTATATCCATATGCATGTATGTATATATATACATATATATATATATATATATGTATATATATATGATCACTTGAAATTAAAATCTCTCAACCATCCACATCTAAAAGAAGGGTTTTTTGAAACGCTGGAAGAAAAGCCACATCTTACATGGCAGTATTGGCCCAGATGAAATATCAGCATCATTAGATGAGAACTTTGAGCCTGGTCTCCAAAATGTCTTTTCCCCCATATAGTAGACCCAGCAAAACATCAAAGTATTTCACCTGGATGAAGATCTGTACCTGGTTGGCTGGTCAGTCCTGGGAGAGATTCCTGCAACTGATAGGTTGAGGTCGATGACGATGTGCCATCAGCCGTGTTATTTGACGTCATATATGCCCCGTATGTGGAGGCTGAGTAATACTGTGCATACTGGTTTTGGCCAAAGGCTGTGTAGGATGGGTAATCCTGAAAGACGAATTGAGACGTATGTGTCCTTGAAGGAGAAATTACTTCTGGTCCAAAGCAAAAAAATCACTATGGTAACTGAAAGGTTAGTATTTGGTTCCATTTGTTTTAGAGTCCCCAGTTTTGAGGTGATCCTAGCGAGTTCACCCAGTTACGAACTACCCTGCTGGCTTCACCAACCAGGTCCAGCACATAACTCTCCAACTGCCTAAAGGCTGCACATGCCTCACGTAACCACAAGTACTTATCTGGGGATGTATGTCTTAAGGTCTTAGGCGAAAGAGTAAATAAAAGAAAATAGAATAACAGAGTTTTTTACCCACGCTTTCATAGGCTATGTGTCATCTAAGGTCTTGACTTAAAGTCCCTAGTGAGGTTTTTAAATATTGAGTTTGCCTCATTTGCTAGAGAAAGAAGAAAGCACTAGGTCAACTCCTCTGACCTGCCTTTATTAAAAAATTCTAAGAACCTTAAAGTAATCTAAGTAATCCTTCAAAATCCTTTACATATTAAGATAACAAATAAGAATTTGTTGTAATAATTTGTGTTTAATGTATCTAGCATGTTTTAGCCCAAATTGTTATCAGTGATGATAAAACCTTGGTCAGGATTAAGATTCCCCGATACATGTTCCTAAGGGAACAAAGATACACATTTGATGTGGTTTTCCAAAAAGGAAAATCTTTATGTAAGTAAATATCTGTATAAGCAAATATGTGTATTATCAGAAAGGATTAAGTAGAGATGACCCTTGACTAACATGGGTTTGAATTGCATGGGTCCACTGATATGCAGATTTTTTCAATAAATATAGAATATAGTACGGTAAATGTATTTTCTCTTCCTTATGATTTTCTTAATAATATTTTTTTCTAGCTAACTTTACTGTACGAATACAATATATAACACCTATAACATATAAAGTCTGTGTTAATTGGCTGTTTAAGTCATCAGTAAGGCTTCCTGTCAACAGTGGGCTATTTCAGTTAACTTTTAGAAGAGTCAAAGGTTACACATGGCATTTTGACTGCATGGGGAGTTGGCACCCCAACCCCCATTGTCTAGTTCAACTCTAGAATGGCAGGAAATGAAAATTCTGTTTGTCTGCTAATTTCAGGATCTGATGTTCCCCATCACCACCTGTAAGCTAAGGAAAACACCGCTCAACAATACTTGGACAAAGCTCCTAGCAACCTGTTTTTGTCAGAGTAAGACACTTACACAGGCAGTGTTCGAAGGCGTCAAGTGGATTCACCCATTTAGTCCTCACACCTGCCTATGTGCTATTGTTACCCCATTTTTCACTGAGGGGAACGAAGGCACAGTGTGGTGAAGTGATCTGTGCGCTCGAGGTCAGACAGCTAGCAAGTTTCAGGCTGGAACTGGTCCCCAGAGAGGCTGACTCTGACGTCTGTGTGCTGAAGCTCTCCCTGAGGCTACTAATGTCCTTAGGGGAAGATGAAGTGACTTAGAGGAAAGGTCCAGACTGCTAGCTACTGGTGACTAAAACAGCTTTTTGTACTCAAACATATCTCAGAGATCCCCTCTTCTCTATCTCCCACTACTGTCACCCTGGTCCAGGCTACCTTCACTTCCTGTTGGAGCCAGTGGACCAGTTTTCTAATTTGTCTCATTTCCAGGTTTAGTTTTCTCCAAAGTGCCTAAAGCCAGAGTGATATTTTCAAAACAGAAACTGTATGACACTATGCTCCTGCTTGGAATCCCCTAATAGCTTCCCAATGGGCTTGGAATAAAACTGAAATCCCTCACAGAGGGATACACATACAGAGCCCTGCCTATCTTTTTATAAATATGCTTCCCCCTCTGCCCTCTTGCACAAACTAAACCCTCCCCTTCTTGGAATTCACTGGCACACCAAGGGTTTTACCTCTCAGAGGTTTGGTACCTGCTACTTTCTATGCCCGAAACACCCTGGCCCTCCTTCTTCACCAGTCTTAGAAGACGTCCCGAATGTCGCTTCTACAGACAAGCCTTCCACAAAATCTTCCCTACTCAAAATTAGAAGTCTATTAATATTTTTAATAGACTCCATTCTGACTCTTCGTGCTTTCCAATTCTATATTTATTCATGCATTTACTGGTTTATTGTCTGCTTCTCTTGGCAGTTGGTGATATCCAGGAGGCCAGAACCAGGTCCTATCCACTCCGGTCCTCACTTACATGTCCCCAGCATACAGACCAGGTCCTAAGACATAATAACTACTCAATAAGTATTAGCAAAACTAATAGACTGGCATTCCAACCATGGTCTAAGATATAGGTTATGAGTCATATTGGAGCCACTGTATTTTTAAATGTTTAGATAGTATTGGATCTGTTTTATGCTATAAATCTTTCTTCTACTTTATGAATCTTTTATAAATCCTCCCAAGTAGAACAGAGTAGTCTTTCCTTTATGCTATGCACCACTCTGCCTAATGTATATTTCTACTATTATATTCATTATATCCTACCCTCTGTTCATATTATTTTCCTATCTGTTTCTTTAGAATTGCTTCCTTCCAGACAGCAGAAAATAATGACATTATTTTTGAATCTTCAATGCCTGGTCAAAAGTCTAATCAATAGTAAGTGCTCAATAAATGTTTCCTGTATCAACAAAAAAGTAAGTAAAATGAAGCTACCTGGATTATCAAAAATTCTCAATATTTTTCAATATAAAATAGACATACCAGCTTTGATGTTTAATGTTTTAAGAAACCATTTTTTCTAACTAATGCCAAATTACATGATTTAATTCTATTAAAAATAGTATTTTTCCACACTAATAATCACAATTTCTTTTTTGCTTTTTGTTGCATTAATAAACATTAAAAGAAGGCAATTGATATAATCCCTTCAATAAATCCGAAGAGCGCACTTGTGCAATAACTTAGATTTTAGAATATATAAAAGTCCAACAACTAAGTTAAAGTAAAATAGTGTATTGTCCACCGAGGAAATCAACTACCCTTCTATCTCAACAACTCTAAACTTGACAGAAGTAGGAAATAAGCACAAAAGATTCTGAAGTGTCCGTATATTCCACCCATCGCAAACGTTCTCGCTCCACACACAATTCTAATAAACTAGATTTTAGAACTCACAAAAATACTAAGAAAGCATAATTAAGAGGAGGACTAAGGACTACTAGAGGCAAGCAGCCTGACAAAAGCAAAAATTACAGCTATCAGGAAAGTAGGAATCAAACGTTTATTAAAATGAACCACAGAACTAAAAGAAAAAAAAAATCCGAGAGGCATTTGGTTTAGTAGCAAATATTCCGTACTATCAATGTCATAACCTACTTATGGGTTGTAGTTCAATTTCTTAATTAATTTTCATAATAACTTGTCAAAAATGAAATTAGGTTTAGTAAACAGTTTAAAATAATCGGAAAATACACAATATATTTTGTAGTTCTGTGCCAAATGATTAAAATAAAAATCATGGCTTAAATGTTTAAAACAAACAATCAGAAAACCTAAAATACCCAGAATAACACAGATCTCAAGAATTCTGGAAAGTTAATTTTTTACCACCTTGAAAAAACGTTTTTCTAGGAGAGTATACGCTTACATGATAACCCGAACCTATTCTTCAAAGATCTGAAACAGACACAAAAAGCCTAAATACAAAAAAGCTACTATACCTGTTGTGAACCACTAAAATTTGTTGAATTGGAGACTGAATTATTTGCATAAATAGTAGATGATGGTGCAAAACTAGAACCTAGAAATAAAGAAAAAATTGCACTTAAAAAGTATCTCTTTGCAAAATTATAAAAACATTTCACTTTGCAGAAGCCAATGAGAGAAGTATATTTTTAATTTTGTTAAGGCAACAAAACATGAAATTTGAAGTTGAGAGATTTATAAGGAAATGAGTGCTTAGCTCTATCCTTCTTGTGACAACAGATAAAGTCTTTGCTGTAGATGTCTGTTGGACTAAACAGGAGCACATGGGAACAGTCTTAAGGACAGCAGTTAACCTTTGAAGGTTAAATGCCTAGAAGAGCAAAGGTTTTCAAAGAATAAAATGTTACGCAGACAGAGTACTCCTAGGAAGCTACTGGAACTTTCAAATGGTCATACAAGCTGCATATGCACACAGAAACCATTTGAGCTAAACATGTGGATAAGGTTAGCTTAGGAAACATAGAACCAACTTAGAACTGATACTTGCAGCACCCTGTCTTTTCTTTCCTCCTCTGTCCTTTCCTTGGAGTCAAGAAAGATGTGAAGTGGGACTCAGACTAAGTATAGTACAGTCATGTAGGGCTTGAGAGCCTTCAAAGATTTGACTACAAAGTTAGAAATTTAATTGTTTTTTAAATTATTTTTTCAATTAAAAACAAGTGAGATATCAATTTAAAGATCATTTTTTAAACATATGTTCCATGAAATGGACTTATGAAGAAGTAAAATGAAAGACTACTGACATAGCTGATTACTTGTTTTATCAGTGTGTTTAGAATTGCAATAATATTATATAATTAACACAAACTGATCTGGCCCAGAATAGCCAACATGAAGTATTGGGGGATCAATGAAAATGTACTCATGGTTGCTTTCATACTCCTAACTGACGGAGTGGCTTTAACATTTATGTAACTATATTTCTATATATACTACTATATATCTACAGTTTAGGTAAAAAGAGACCTGCCCTTTCAGCCAAAAAGGTCTAGGTAATTATTTCACTTAAGTTGGACTAAAATTTCAACACTGGGTTGATTAAAAAAGGATGATTTACATAACCCCAAATGTATGACAGAACAGACACAATGACAGAAAGCTTTTAATGCATTTACTATGTCACTAAAATTCTTTCTGCAACTACTACATAATGACCAAATGTAGAAGCAAAATTAAATACTCAGATGCAGAGGATTGTTGCGGGGGGGGGGGAGTACAAATTATATAAATATTTCTAGCATTAGAAATATTTATATTTCTAATTATATATTAGAATTATATATTGAATTGATTATATAATGAATATATTGAATATATAGAATTATATTAGTAATTATACAAATATTTCTAGTAAGAAATAAAGTATTAATAGAGGAGAGGTATTTGAGGAATGAACAGAAAATCCAAAATAGTTAAACGGTAAACAGGACTTAGAAAGGTATTAACTCAATTTTAAATATAATCAAAGCAGCATTACACACTTAAGGAATATGGATAAGAAAATACACATGAATCTTTGAACCTCACTTAAATAGATGTCTGTGTATGACTGACATGGCCCAGAGGTTACTCTGCTTGGACTTAGTGTCCTGCCAATTTCATGCAACTTCAACTTAAGTACTGAAATTTGGTATAGGTCACGTTTCCTGATGTATATTCAATTCTTTCCACCATGTTTTTTTTTTGTTTTTCCTCTTCTCTAGCTATTTGACTTTCCGGATGCAAACAGCAGTAACAATTAAAACCATTTTCACAAAGGCATATTCCTATTCTGAAGCCAAGGAGTCTCATCCAGAGAATTCCTCCTCGCGTAACATGCTTCCTGTGCGGTGGCTTACCTGGCATCTGGTAAGAATACGGCGTCTGGCCAGGCTGTGGGGTGGAAAACCCTGGGCTGTAACTGAGGCACCCGCTCTGTAACGGGGATGGGGTCTGTGAAAGTCCACTCTCCGTCTTGATGCCTGGCAACATCACACCCAGATCTGTTTGGGAAATGCAGAGCGCAGACCCTCGCATTAGTAGAATGACCTTGCTCCTGCGTTGTCACTTACGCTAGAATATCTAAGCACAAGGCAGCAGGATTACCCGCTCGTAAGCAAAGAAGCAGAGAAAAGAGGTGCGATACCGTAAGTGGGCAGGCTGTAGGGCTGTCCTGTCTGTGAGTAGGCTGTGTAGACCGCTGGCTGCTGCATCCCCGAATACTGAGTCTGGCCTGCGTAGGCAGACATCGTTTGAGCTGCTGGTGTAGAAAGAATGTGTGGATAGGGCCTAAATATCAGAAAAATAGCATTACTGTGGCAACAAAGACTGCACATTACTTCAGACAGCTTAGATTCAGTGAAACCTTATCATAGCCAGGAAGTAACCCTCTTCTTCATCCACAATACAATTCTAACAACAGGGAAAGGACAAGAGTCCAAACGTCCGGAGCCTGGGCTCTGCTACCAGTCAGGACAGTGACTTGGGACAAATGGTTTAAACTCCTTAAAGACTTACGTCTCACTTATATCATGAGACATCTGGATCAGATATTAGATCTAAAGTCTTCCGTCTACAGTACTTGTTGACCTCTGAAATAGTATCTCAATTAATGTGCGGACCAGGGAAGTGGAGCCCAGGCCAGTTAGCATGCTCATGAGCTTACCTACAGTTTCTACCTACAGTCTCCCCTGCTGCTATACCACAGATACACAAGACATGAAAAGTCCTACCAATTCTCTGCCAAGATCAGGACATTTAAAAAAAAAGAAAAGAAAGGAAAAAGGTAGGCAGCTGCTTCCTGAAAAGAAATGGAATGACACTCCCTTTATTGTGCCACATTTTACAGAATGTTCCCGAACGGATATCCAAACCCCAGTCTGTACTTAAGGGCAGAGACTGTAGCTGCTCCAGAGAATAACATTTAAATATGTGTGGATCATGACTCTAAAACCTTAACACATCTGGCTGATTGTAACCAAATTCAGATATATACCTAATATTGTTAAATTTGAAATTTCTACCCCTGCCTTCAATAAGTTGACTTTGTTTGTTATAAAAACAATGGAGCACATTATTCTAAAATATGTGCCTGAGAACTTGAAATCCCAAGAAAATGATGTTATATGGAACAAATTATGAAGGGTTAATGTTTGAATAAGATGTAATCTTTTCAGATTTTCCTTAAGCTAGTCAGAATTTTTGAATTTTCATTCAGAAATCAGTGTTTTCTGGTTTGAGCTTGATGCTTTCCTCAAGGTATACAAAGATCCAGAATTAAAGGAACTGTCTGGACAAACAGGAGTATATCTCAGTTCCTGGATTTGTATAGGGTATTTGTCCATATGTCTAACCCACCCAACTGCTCTGTGCAAGTATCTATCTATTCAACTATCTATGACACACTTACATACACAAAGGAATCTACTGAGCACTTACTTGGAAGGATATAGCTGTGGGGAATATTGATGTGCTGATCTGGGGCTGTAGCCACTACTTGTTATTACTGTAAGACACAAAAAAACCAGTGCAAAAAAAGTTGCTTCGTGAATATGTTTCACTAGAATGACAAAGCCAGTTTGAAGAAATTATCATGTTCAAGAGATGTTTCTACAAATTCACTCGTTTTCTAAACAGAAAAAAATCATTTTCTAAACAGAAACAGATGCCTAAATATTTTCTTCTAATGGAACTGCTTCAAGTTTGGTCTAAGAGCATAAAATGAAATCTTCTCACAATCCTTTGTCTCTGTCGTTCTTTCGCATTCTCACATCGGTAGCATATTCTTACGTATGATTAAGTAGGAATAAATATCCTTGATTCCAGACCATTACGATTTCGTGACAAAGTAAATTTTTAAAAATTATCAGACTTTAGGTTTTATGTTTTAAATTCCAACTAGGACAGCGACATACTGCTCTTCCTCCGTATCTATTCTACTAAAAATAAAATAAAATTTCAGGAAAAATGTGAGTTTCCAACTGCATTTGGAAATTGTAAAATACTATCATTTATGGCCTCTAATTTTACCAATCAGATGAGCAGTTAAAAATGCAGAGTCCGGGATACCTGAGTACTAAGTGGAGTATGCATAGAAAGCGTGAGTGGTAACACATCATGTCTTACGAAACACCATTGCATAATACCCCAGCGATCATATTTACAAATATATTCTGAACTATCAGAGACAGCACTTTCTTGAGGAGAGCTCAAAGGTGAAAGTCAGGTCCTGTTAACATTTTGTCCTAACATGCAGCCCCAAACTGGACTACATTCAGAAGTCTGGAAGTTTCTCTTAACCAACTGCCTTGACTAAGACAGATGTATTGCAAGCACATGGACTCCATAGTGTTGAGGCAGTCCCTTCAGAGCCAGTCCATACTGGGCAAGCACACAGAGTGTCTTTATTAGGCCATCTGCTGTTCATTCACTTTTCAAAAAGATTAAAGTAGTACACAATGCAGTGCTGGAATTAGTTTAGTCTAATCAATCATAGTTATACTTCAAAGTACTGTGTCCTTCCTAAGTTGTTCATAATAATTCTGGAGCTAAACTTTGAGAATTGTAAAAGTGACAAATAGGCTTAGGTTGCTAACTATTTTATGAAACATGATATATTCCTACATCCAAATGCTATTAAGTACCCTTGTGATCTGTCATTTTGTAAACACATAGAATTTAGTGTATTTAAAATGCTATTTGGCCTGTAAGCTCCGAGTATGGAAAGTGTGTTATGGTTTTTCATAGCAATAGCACAGAAAGTATGTTTTCAAGGATATTATGAATCAGTTTTGAGAATCATTGAATATGACGAGAGGTGTCAGGTTCTAAATGTTTTAACTAAACAAAATTTAAGTGAAATTGCTATTTTAATTTGCAAATCAATTGACCAATGAACCATTAATTTTCTACTGATTTATTAAAAGCTTAAAGTTTAAAACTTTCAAATCACTCTAACGAGAACATGCTTTTCCTACCACACCACAGAAGCTAAGCGTATATTACATAACAGCAATAGTGTTATTCCCCAGGTAATTCAGTCTGTTTCATTAACTCACAATAGTGAGCAAAAATATAGTTAAATGAGGCATAACTCCATGTGTTGTCACTTATTTATAAAATGTCATTTTATAGTAATCAATTCTTCTCAAGATTGCGAATCACAAAACTGTTCCAAAGTGACATCAGAAAATGAAAAGAACCATCCACCAGAGCAAATTTTATTTAAAAAAAAAAAAAAAAAAAAAGCGAAAGAGCAAAAATATTTCAGAGAAAAAGCCCCATATACCTGAATGGAAATCTGAATATAGGATTTTCCTCCTGCTAATGAATGAATCTAGACAATATTAAAATAATGTACCCATAACAGTACCAAGGCTCAACATTTAAAATTTCTATTCATGTCTGTACGTTCACTTGCTAAATAGAATGCAAAACCTCTAGCTCAGAAAACTAAGATGTTCATACAAAACTTGCTTCTACACTAAAATGTATGTATTTATTCTAACTCATGAGTCTTCAGGTAACAGAAAACAACACAATTTCACTAAGGTGGGATGAGATTCCGCCGACCAGAGTAAAGTCTGTTTCTATACAGGGCAGCTTAATCTCCAGTATGGTTTCTGGACTACCATGTACAGATTTCAGAGACGTTCCTCTCATTTCCCATTGTCATTTCAGTAAACAAGAGTTATTACCCAACACGTTCAACTCATCATATTCCAACATCTCTGCAAATAAAAGTAAATAAACTGCTTGTTTTCAAAATGTCCTGAAAGTTAATTAAAGCAAATTTCTATATAGTATTACAAGATTCTCAGAGGGTGATGTAAACAATTTTAAGGTTTTAGTCTAATTACTGTGACACCTTAGATCAGAGATTCTCAGTGGGGCAGGAGAGGGGAAGTGAGCGAGCTGGGCAGGTAGGATTTTTACCTACAAGGGGACATTTAAAATGTCTGGAGACATTTTGGGTTATCATGACTGCGGAGTATTACTGTCCTTCTAGGATAGACAATAGAGATGCTGCTAAACCCCTTCCGATGCAGAGGACAGATCCTCCACTACAAACAAAAAGAGAAAAAAAGTTAGCCAAATTTTTGATAGTGCTACTGTTGGGAATCCCTGACTTTGAACATTTTGTCTAAAGGAACCTGGTCCATGGTGCTAGAAATGTTCTATATCTGAGTTGTTCAACACCATAGCCACAAAAAGACCACAGGCAGCTCTTAAACACTTGAAATGTGACTGCTGTGACGAGAGACAACATTTTTACTTTTACCAAATTTTAAATAATTTAGACTTAAACAGCCACATATGGCTAGTGACTATGGGACAGCAGAGCCTTAGATAATTCGTAAAAGAAAACTGGGTAACTATTTATAAAGATAAAGATAATATGCATGAATTTTAGAGAGGATGACTACTCACAACTATTTCTTTTTCCAATTTTGTATTTTCCAATGGGACTATTATAGAAGGGACTGCCAGACTTGTCAGAACACGGCTCTGCACTCATTCATACCAGTGACCAGCTGTGAGACCTGGACCGTCTAGCCTTCACCACCTTTAACTTATCTGCACCTCTGTGCTCCTGCCTATAAATCAGATCAGAGACCTCTGAAATTCCTTGTGGGACTAACGTTCTACAGTGCTGTCATTTAGTTTTCAATAAACTTGTGGTATGGTATTTAAGTATGCTAGCAATTACTTAGTATTTCCACATCTTTCCCTAAAAATGTGTTCCCAATGCATTTACTCTGCAGAAAGTTTTACAAGAGTTATGGTAGGTGAGCAGTAAAGACTGCTAGAGTAAGTTGGTACCTATTTATCTCGTGGGAGGCAAGTGAATTGCTAGAAAGGATATGAATTAGCACATATGAGTCTCAAGGCAGAGTGTATGAATTATTACCTCTTTCTGTCTGAAATACCAATATTTATGTGAACACACAGCAACTGCTCCCAATCAGTGAATTAACGAGGGGGGATCATCTATCTCTATGAAAATGCAATGTATGCTTCAATATTCTATTCAAGGACGTACTTCCACTCTTTATACCGGAAGCATACACACGTAAAACCTTTGTGTGTGAGAATATGGATGAAACGTAAGAAATATCGTAGTAGACCAACAGAACTACAATGTAAATTACCACAAAAATTTCTCTAGGTTTACTGTTCATCTTTGTGCTATTCAAATTCCTTCTCAGGTTAAAAAAAAAAATCCTTTCACCAGATAATAAACTAAATATTGTAGCTTAAAATCTTTAACAAAGTCAACTTAATGTGTGTCCTTTGTGCCCACCTGGGAGTTATCAGGTATTTATATTTTAAAGGATTGCTGTTTAAAGATAGCTATTGTTCTCTTTGAAGCACTAGGTGAAAGTAGTGCTCTCAGGCTGGGTCCTAATGCAACCAGCATGTGTCCTCCAGCAGCCCATTAACCTTTAATACTTGTCACTCAGCTGCTTACACAGGAGGATTTTTTTTAAACCCAGAGAGGAAACAAGGTTATTTAGAAGGAATCAAATGGATAGTTTTACATCTCGAATGTTGGGAGAGAAGGGAGTTTTTTATGCCATTTAAATGGACAAGTTAAGGGAACAAAGCCAACGATTACGACCTAATGATTAAATTAAACACTGTATAAAATCATTACAAAGGAAGCCAGCCCCACTTCTTTCTAACAAGGAGGTCAGAGGACGGTTTTGCTGTCAACTGCAAATCCAGTAAAAATGATTCCAAATATAATTTTTAAAAAATATACACTTCTGTCACCATTAGTTCTCAAAATAAACACATCAGACGCTAAAGTGATAAAAACCCACATTCTCGAAACTTCGTTTTGTATTTAGGCTGCTTATTTGCCAGGAAGATGATGTGTACCCCAATACGTAGGTAACAACGCATGAGCTTGAGGCTTTACCTGACCCAGTAAAAGTGTCAAGGGCTCCATCTCCAGTGGTGGTTGCCGCTTCACTGCTGTTCAAAGGCTCTGTTTTGACTGCAAGGAGAGACACTATGTAGAAGAATAAGGACATGTGAGTTTTATTTCTAAATGTTTATCAAAGATGCTGACTGTTCCACTAGTGGCTTTTCCAACTACCATGGGCATGCAAGAGAACACTTGAGAAATCGATGAGGAAAGTGGTGTTAATTGAGCTTCTAAAAAATGGACATGCATTTCTAGAGGATTTAATATAAAAATCCTCTGACTAAGCTAGTTCTCTCAGATCTGGTTTTAAAGGCAGTCAACCTTGTAAGGGGAAAGAGCAGTACACATGTTTGCATTTGTAACTCACCTAAGCACCCTCTGACATTAGAGTCAAAAGACAGAAAAAAGGAATCACAGTCGGTCCTTAGCCCATTTAATCCAAATCATAACAAAGAGATTTACTAGCTTATATTTTATTCTTCCCAAGGAGACATTTTTTTAAAAAACACATGATAGCTTGCATAAAAGTACAATGGAAGCATATGCAAATAAAGAAACCATGGGCCTGTTCCTGAGATGGATGGACAATGAGGCACACAATAAATTTCTGTTTTTAAATATACTAAACAGTCGTAAGATATTGGGGGTTTTATTTTAATGGTATAACAATTTTTAATGCATTATAGAGATAAGCAGAGAGAAAGATCATTTCTACAGCAGTTCTGAAAACTCTTTAAAAGGTTATTTCTACTCTGAAGTCATATATTTTGCCAAAATCCTCACTTGGGAATGATGTCGGCAGGCACACATCATTATTGTCATTATTAGATGCAGTGAGTAGGGGAAGAGGGCCGTGGAAAAGCCTCGACCTGTTTTTGTCACACCATATTTTCCTTTTGTGGGCAAAGCTCTGCTACATACATCACAGCAGCAAGGGGATCAACTAAATTATTTTCTACTGAACACCTCTTGTGTTTCCTGGTTATGAATGGAATGATACAGTTAAATAACTTACAAGCAAGCAGAAAACTATGAAGAAGAAAGCTGAAGACTAGCCAACCATGAGCAAACATGGCAAAAAGAATCCTGCAGTCAGAGTGTTCCCATCAACCAAGCAAGTCAGCAATGTTACTCTGTTAGAAAGGCAATTAACTAGCTGATAGAGAACCATGCAGTAATGATTATGCTCTCTTTCCACACAAACAGAATTGACCGGAACCACCCCCTCCTCCTGCCCCGCAGTGAGCCCTGGAGTTAAGTTAGCATTCATGACTTAAGAATGTCCTGAAGAGGGGTGCCTGGGTGGCTCAGTGGGTTAAGCCTCTGCCTTTGGCTCAGGTTGTGATCTCAGGGTCCTGGGATGAAGCCCCGCATCAGGCTCTCTGCTAAGCAGGGAGCCTGCTTTCCCCCTCTCTCTCTGCCTGACTCTGCCTACTTGTGATCTCTGTCTCTGTCAAATAAATAAAATCTTAAAAAAAAAAAAAAAAAAAAGAATGTTGTGAAGATTTGCTCAAAGATTCAGAGGAGTACTGTAAATGTTGGAAAGCAGTAATGAAGAAATTTGGATTACTTACCCTAGCAAAAAGGGAAGTTTAAGCTTGCCCTATTTTTCAATAACAATAATCTGAGGCATAGGGTCTAGTTACTGTATAGTGATAAATAATGAATTGGTGGTGAAAACTTTACGGTAGTAATTTATATAGTAGTCTATTACATAGTGATACATTTATAGTTATACCTGACTGCTAATTATATTTCCCACTACAAATTATTAACTACTACAAAACTATTTATCAGGAGCTTACTATGTGCTAGACCACTGACATGGAGCTGATCGTTAAAACAACTCTGATGGATAGGAACCACTGTCTCCATTTTATATAAAAGAAAGCTGAAGGGTGGGCTAAGGAGTTTGCATTCATTCCTTTGCAGGTGATGAAGAAACTATGATCAGAACTCAGGTCTTTAAGTCTCCATCCACAATCTCTCCATCATAATAGCCTACCTTCCAGTATAAAAATGGCTATGTTCACCACAGGGACTCCTCACAAAGGCTCAGAGATGGATAAGAATGGCCTTATCCTCCAGAGAGCGTATTTAAGGAAAAAAACGTCAGAAATGAAAACTGCAAATATGAGAACAGGCTACTACAGTACATTTTCCATGTCTTCTCATGAAATTTCTTAAAAGGCGATAAGGAGCAAGTGTGAAAGCAGATAATAACAACACACACTTAAAAGATATTTAATATGTGCCAGGGGCTGCTGCTATGCTTTCCAGATATGAACTCATTTCCTCCTCATGACGATCCAATGAGGTAGATAATATTATCATCTTACTCTTCAAATGACTAAGCTGAAGCACAAAGTAGCTAAATAACTTGCCTGTAGTCACATAGCTAGGAAGAACTAGAATTTGAGACCAGGTGGTATGGGATCAGAATCCAAATTCTAAACCATACTGCCTCTGGGGAAGCACGAATTATTCAAGAATTCCTTTCATCTGTATGAAGATGATCCAGAGTGTGGCCAGGATGGATGTAAAGCTCTCTCTCTGATGTAATGTCCACGTTCGACTTCTGACAAAAAAGCACAGCCCAAAGCCTTTGGCAACACTAATACAGTGGACAGTCTCTTGAAACTTCCAAATTCTAATGCTGGCTAAATCCTATGTACATGGGCCTAAATCTATAAACAATACTTATAAAATCGTTGTAAAAAAATTCCATATTTTGCTTGTGAATTGAGGAGGAAGGATCAGAACGTGAGCTGGGTCTAAAAAACTAGTCTAGAAGCCAGACATGAGGATTAGTTTTGTTAGTTTGGATCCCAACTTTGTATTGATGTTGATTATAATCTCCTCAATTTGCATGTTTCAGGTGGTCAAAAGGAGGAGGAAGAAAAGGGAGACAAAGAGTTTGTAGTTGCATTCACTATACTGGAAACATTGCTCGTTAAAATTTTAAAGGTCTGAATTCAGTCAACGACAGAAAAAGAAGTTTCATTTTACCAAGAAAAGGCATCTGTAAAAAGCATATGAAGAGAATCATAGATGTTAAGAAGCGTTCAGTGTACTAACATGCATGGATTTTAAAGTAATAATTCAACAAATGGATTTGGAGAAAAACTGTACATTATTGCTAGTTTATTTTTCACATGCAGGTAAGAACAAAAAGGAAAAGAGGGAAATTTGATTATGTTGCTACAGAAAGTAAATTATTCTCACATTAGGTCGACATCAATAAACATCTCTTGAGCTCCAAGTAAAATGCAAAATAATTTGGTTTGATTTTGTGAACAACAAAAAAAATAACATTAGGTAATAATAAATTGCTTCTCCAGGGGCAGAAAACCAAGAGAAGTGAAATGGACATTCCATATATGATTAGTTGATTAAAAAGACAAAACAAATGAGTATCTTAATATTTATAAAACAGGTTACTAGGACAAAGGAAATACTATTTTAATTATAAAGTTTTGAAAAATGTTAAGTCATTTTCAATAAAGGTCCACATATATTTGAAATGTATTCTGATTTCTTTTGTTCTTGGTTTTGCTTCTGTACTTTAAATTAAATATGCCATATACTTTTCTAGTGGCAGGCAACTTTGTTTTTAGTTAAATATGTGCAGGGCATTACTGGAAAGATATTCACCAATGAAACATCTTACTATTTTCTAAAACTTACAAAAATCCTCATTCCAAATGATTATCAGTGTATATTCATGGTCACATTCAAATGTATTTTTTTCTCACTGTATTTCACTTTTCTTAAATTGACACAGGTTCAACAGGGTTTTTAACCTATTAGGACAGTGTCCAGAATCATTACATGCTATAAAATGGAAAGGACAATCTATAAAAGAGAAACATCATATTTTTCAACAAAATGAAACTTACAGACAAATGTTTGGATTTCAAAAGTAACAATCATATTTTAAAATCCGAAGTTAAAGAGTATTGTGGTTTTACTCCTCTATATACTCAAAATAAGTAATTCAGAGTTCAGGGTTAATTCAGTAATTCAGGGTTTCTCTGAAAGTGAGATGAGAAACCATATATAGCACTTTGTACAGAACTTACAATTTAAGAAATACAAGCATTTCTTGTTATATAGTTGTAATTTGGATGTTTTTCACAGAGACAGATGTTTAAAAATAAGTCAAAATATTTTTAATATATTGATTATAATATATTGGTATAATTGGATTTTTTTTTTTACCTTTAAAAATAATTGATACCAATGGACTAAATAAAAATTGTACAGGATTATTGTCCGGGGTCAGCTGTGCCTCAACCTTGATCCATACCCTCCTACACATATTTTCACAACAAATTTAATCTTGTCTGTTCAGATTATCTTTGGAACTCAAGTACAAAGTTAATGTATATTAATGATTTGTGAAGAGAGTCTGTTTATTGTAGTAATTCCAAGTTCATGTTCATTAGTTGCACTAGCAGAGTTAATCCTTGAAAGAGAAGGTGACCCAAGTAATTTACATTTTACATTTCATCTTCCAAAATCTGTGATTAAACTGGTATACACTTAAAAGACATACCTATGCTAATTCTAAATATACTTCTTTCTGAACCACAAAATCACCCGTAGCTCCTTCTGACAGCACAGGTGTTGCAAAGCATTTCAGGAGGAGTTAGATCAGGAAGGACACAATTTATAACACTGTAGGGGAGCACGCAGTATGGCCTACTGCTTTTTAATAATTAGTATAGCCTATGATTTAGTTTGTCTGAATCAGTATGTTCACTCTATGAGCACCAAGTGTCTTTCACTCCTAAATATCCAGAAATAAAGTGATTTTTATAAAATAATTTAATAAAGCAGCTTATGGTTTTCATTTAAAAAAAAAAGAATCTAAAAAGAATAGAGGCACAATAGTAGATGGTTCTACTTCATGAACATGTAACATTCAGAAATAAACCCCTTGCATAAGAAAAATCATGTGTATAATAAACATAATAAAAATTCTGAAAGATTCTTTTCTATGATATATAGATTTTAAATATAGAAAATGTTGTAATCTGATCAGAATGTCTGATTTAGGTTCCCCCAAACCTTCTCTCTAAAGCATTTTCTTAATCTCCATGTAGAATCAAATATTCCCTCCCTCTGCTATGCACTCACCTTGAACACATTATGCACTCATTACTTTCTTGTCTGTTTCCCTCTGCTAGACTTTTGGTCCCTTGATGGCCAGTATCATATTCTATAGGTCACTGGGTTCCCATTTCCTAGCACAGAGCCTGGCATATAACAGGAACTTGATACATTTTAATTGAGAAAGTGAAAATCCACTTTTAGATCCTATCCTAAGCAATTCCAACGGATGTCTTTCTGTAAAGTACAGCTAATCGTGAATCTTGACACCATTAAGCAAATAAAAAGCTTATGTATTTCTGCAACTTTTCATATGCTCAGCATGCATTTATATGCGTAAGTATGCATATACATGAAGGATTCAGAGCATACATATAGCTCATCTCGGGGGTCAGCAAATTACATCCCACATGCCAAATCTTCCCCATGGCCTGTTTCTGGATAGCCTGTGAGCTATGAATGACTTTTAAATTTTTCAACAGTTGAAGTATATCTAAAGAAGGATATTTGTGACTTGTGAAAATTCTGTTAATTTCAAATTTCAGTGTTCACAGATCCAGTTTTATTTGAACACAGCCAAGCTCATTGTCTATGGCTGCTTTTGTGGAACAACAGCAGAGTTGAATACCTAAAACAGGGACCTTATAACCTGCAAAGCCTAAAATATTTATTATCTCACTCTTGGCAGAAAAAAATTTGTTAACCACTGATCTATATGCTAGGGTATGATTGAATATATTCTACTTTTATTGACAGTTCTACATTTTAACAATTTTACAAGCAATAAAAATTTGAAAGAAAAATTATTTTCCAATATAAATCTGCAGATGTAATTATATAATTAGCTCTAAGGTGTTGAAACAGTTTAAATCACTTCAAAGAATAATGTAATATATTTAAGAGTACCAATGTAATATGGTAAGATATTAAGGGGACACTATCAACTTATTCATATTAGAAAAAACTATATAATTCAAGTCCTTTTGAAAACCTCAAAGTTAAAGGAAAGGTTTTCAAAGCCACTAAATTAGCTTTTGCTTTTTTCTTTTATTATAATAATTTTATAAAGGGATCCAATTCCCACAATAAAACCCAAGATTAAAGATAAAACAGTTTATTGTCAATGGGAGAGATATGCACCAAATCTTTGTTTGTGCTATAAATATCCAACATACACTCATACAATAAACTCCTCGAAGTCATTAAAATTCATAAATTTCATGTCAGTAAGCCACCAAGACTACATCGTTAACAATCAAAGTATACCTAACATTTTATTACTAAAAACTTGCCTTCTTTGGCCAGTTTACACATTCTAAATGCAGAAAAATATATTTTATGACCAAATATTAGAAAACCTTTTAACATAATGTATGTTTTCATTTTCTTTTAAAACTATTGCCTAGTCATTATTGAATTGTTAATTAAAGAAAGAGAAACATACTGGTTTTTACTGGCAAGCAATTTGTATACACTAGTATACAATTTAACACAAAAGCTTTGGCAGGGAAATATTATTTTCCTCCTTTTATAGAAAGAGATTAAAGCTCAGAGAGGTTAAGTGACTCGTCCAAGGTAACACAGCTAGTAAGTGTGTTCCTCCTGACACACAATTCTTTGTTCTTCCCACATGGCCACATGACTCTTAACATTAACACTAAGAACTAGGAAAATCTGATACTTAACACTTAGAAAAATATATCTGGTTGAGATTCATCTAAATTACTAAACACTGAACATATTCACTATGGTAAAGCTCCCATGTTACATGAATATCTGAAAGCAGAACAATAGCCAGTGAGCTAAGAATGTTTTTCACAAAGGAAATGTTTTTTTAAAAAAATATCAAAACTAGAATATTTTGTGTTGTGATAACTATGAAATTTAAATACTGGGTTTTATTGGAACCTGATGAATCTCACTCATTTATGCATTGACTATGGCTGCTTTTGAGTTAGGATGGCAGGGTGGAGTAGATGAGACAGACATGGTATGTTCTATAAAGACTAAAATACTTACTATCCAGCTCTTTATAGAAAAAGACTCCTGAGTTAGAATTAAGAGAAACTAAATTCTTGCAACAGATTTTAAGTATAAAATGTGTATTTCAAGGTGGAACTGGAAAACATTTCAAGTTAAAATTATTTTTAAAAAATAAATAATGGATATAATGGAATTATTTTTCACTCACTGGTCATATATTTTAATTTAATCAGATACAACGAGATCCGGCCAAACTGCCTATCTTAACATTCTTTTGTAATGCACATTTCCAACAGGTAGGGAGGTCTTCTTTTTAATTTTACTATTGGGTGATTCCATGTTAGTGTTATAGTCTTGTTTTTATTTTTTGATTTTGGTAGTATATTAGCTTTTGATTTAGAAAAAGAAAAATGTTATGGGGTGCCTGGGTGGCTCTTTCACTGAGTGTGTGCCTCTTGGTTTCAGCTCAGGTCACGGTCTCAGGGTCCTGGGGTTGAGTCTCATGTCAGGCTCTGTGCTTAATGAGGAGTCTTCTTGAAGAATCTCTCTTTCCCTCTCCTTCTGCCCCTCCCCACACTCTCTTTCTAATAAATAAATAGCTCTTTTAAAAAAAGAAAGTTTGTTTACACTTCTATATATTTTCTGTATATGAATGCAGTAATTATAGTTCAAAGTATTTTAAGGGTTAATACTGATTTATAATTTTAAATGTGTAGCTTTCACACTGATAATTCTTTAAAATGATGGAATTTTAAATGTTTATGTTGCTTTAGGCACTTTAACTGGATTATTTATTGACGTCCTTAAAATCACAGATATCTTTTTGCCATGTTAAGAATTTCAAGGAAGACAGTCTGTAGGTCACAGGGATGACCAAGTTTGTATGTCTGTGCAATCTGGTTCACCCGCTCTTAGAGCTAGGGCTGCTGTGCTCTATTAGGCACTTAGATGATACGTAGTTAGAAAAACAACAGATGCATCTGTTGGCGCAACATTATAAACCAATGTAAGAAAAAAAACCATTGGTTTAAGGAATCTAAGATTAGAATACTAGTTGGTAAGGAAAAAACATAGTCAACTGTTATCTATAAGCAACAAAAAGTCATGTTTATTTCTCCTTTTTTGTTACAAGTACTTAACACAGAAAAGGAAATGCAAACAGAAAGAGCCACAGAAAGCAAACCAGAAGGGTAATACCGACACACCCAAACACATGCAGTGTACCATCATCTCTCATACTTGTTGCAGAAGAGGGGGTGTTGCAACTCAGCAACCAGTCTGCAGTGTTTAAAACAGTCATGTTGTCCCCTGAGAACAGGAACAGTATAAGGGTTCATTGTCCGAATGCCTGCTCAATGTGCAGGAATAGTCTTCAATGCCTGCACTGGTGCCTGACCTTTTAGCTAAAATCATAACTGCACTGTATGATTTTTATCCTTTATTTTATCAGATCTGTTTTAGTTCCGTTAAATACATATACATGATTAGTGAAACTCCAAGATTTGATTCCAAAGGTTTTAAAAATCTTGTTACATGTATCTAAGTTAAAGTTTAAATCTAAATGTCCTTACACCAGAAATCATCACTACACAATCTTACAAATTTGCACTCCCATAATTAAATAGCTAAAATTATAGATGCATGTTTAGAGACAAATAAACATCATAAACAAGGAAATGTTAATCTACAAGGGGTTCGGTGTAAAACATTATTAAATACAGGCAAATTGCAATGCACACAATTTTACAGAAAAAAGTTTAGACTGCACAGTTATTTTAAAATAAATGGGAAGAGGTGTGTCAATTTCATAAATACTTATTGAAATTTTAAAAGAAAATATGATGTGGCAAATGCTATTATCTAATAATATTATTAGTTTATAAATTAAAACAAATGCATATACTTTTTCTCTAATGACTAAAATAGATAAAACTTCAAAATGATGAATAATTTAAAAAGTAGTTTACACATGTGTATATATATATCATATATATAGATATGTGATGCATATACATATTCTGATGCAAAAATCAGACCATATCTTTTGATGGCTGAATACATATTATAAAATCAGTAGGGCAGAATATTTGAAATAACTGTTATTGTTACCATATGCTATGGCATGATTATAAGCTAATCAAATGAGAAAATATCTGAAAAAACTTTAATTCCCACTTTAAATACATCAGGTATTAATCTCCTTGAAAAGAGAGTGCAGCAGACATAAATATTTTTCTGTTCTCAAACCTCTTAAGAAAAAAGGTTTTTAAGAAAAATTTGGGGTAGCCTTTCTCCTGCAATTCAAAATAAAACCGAAAACTAGTATAATCTCTCTCTCTCTCTCTCTCTCTCTCAGACACACACACAAGATCAGAGTGTAAATCCTTTTGGCCACATTTTCTACATTTTTGTTTTGAAATATTTCCTAGGGCAAATACAAAAAGGAAGCTTTTCTAAAAGTCTTTAAAATGTTGTTCAGGGATATCTACTTTTTCTGATTTTTTTCCAGCTACAGAGGAGGTGCAAGAAAATCAGCAGAATAACAGTCTATTAGCCATATCGTCCCCAGACATAATGCTGATTATGTTATTGCTGATAAGGATTTATTTATTAGTAGATTCCTAACATATGAAATTATAGCAAACATTGAAATGTGATTCTGGGTGCCTCCGTGGTGGTACACTTACCTCCTGTTCCATTTGTGGTGACAGATGTGCTGCTGAGATTAGCCTTCTCCAGTTTGGAGCTACCAGGAGTATCACCACTTCCAACAAGAGGATGAGGACTTGCGAGGTCCTGCATTTCCATAGACCTGTTAGAGCAGGAAGAGCAGAGCAAAAGCTAAAATCTCAGCAATGATTTCTTAAAAAACGACATATATTTTTTTACTGAGCACACATGTGATCTCACAGTAAGAATGGAGACCAAAAGCTAAGACTTCTTTGTTAGCTAGATGAACATGACAGTCCATTAAAGATTAATAAATAAATACAGCTTCCATGATAGTTGAGCTTCATAATTTATTTGTAATCCTATAACTATTCTGTATAATAAAGTACAGAAGAAATATTCTGTCATCTTAGCTGTTTAAGTTGATAGGGATACCCTCCCTCCTACCATCTCTATTATAAACATGTAGAAATGCTGAAAATATTTAACCCCTAAAATTTGATGTCCTCAGCCACCAGTGACAAAGAAATCAATAGCTAGAAGTAAAGTACAAACAAAGTCAGAACAGAAACTTCCAGCTGACCTTGTGGATCCAGGGCTGAAAACTGACTTTAAGGACTGAGGGCTAGAGTTGTTACACCTTTAATATCTACTTAGGAATAGGCAGTTTGACATAAGGGAATGTGCTGGAATTGAGACCCTAAATAAAACTGAGACTCTTAAAAGATTGACCCTCTTTGGAAACAGAAACTTAAAAAAGCAGAATTTTACAGTAGTCCAAAGAAGCCATACATGCTTCAATGAAAGAAGGAAAACACATGAAATAAATAAAAATTGGGAGAACTTATCACCAATAAGCTATCCTATAAAAATAATACTGAAAGAAGACCTTCTGTTAAAAGTAAAGATACCAGATAAAAACTCAGAACTAGGGGGAGGAATGAAGAGTGACAGAAATGTAAATATATAGGTAAATACAAAGATTATCTTTTTTTTTTTTTCATGAAAGACTGCCAAATGAAGCAAAAAAAAAAAAAACCACACAAAAACAAAAACAAAAACAAGCAAACAAACAAACAAAAAAAATCCCACAACACTGCATTATGTGATTTATAATATAGCACAGGAGCAAAATATATATCGATATCACAAAGATGGTGGGACAAAATTATATTCTTTTAAGGTTCTTTCATTTGGCATGTGATTTTGTGTTATGCTTAGAGAAGACATTTAGGATTCTTCAAGTAATAACTAACATTAAATATTAATAAGAAAAAATATTGACAGATATAATAAAAAGTCAATAGAAAAATTAAAACATTTAAAAGGATTGATTAACCCCAAAAACCAGGAATAGAGAAAGTAAGGAAGAACATATGTGAAAAACAGAAAACATGTAGCAAGACAGCACACTCAAACCTAACCATATCAATGTTTACACTAAATATCAATGGACTAAACACTTCAATGAAGAGACAGAGATTGTCAGAGTGTATTAAAAACCCACCGCCCAACTATTAGGGATCTACAAGAGGAGTATTTTAAATACAGACACACTGTGATACTATGGCATACTGCCCAGAAAAATTCATTCCTATAGCTGCTGGTAGTGTTACCAACTAGCAGTTCTCAACTAAATTCCTTTCTAAGAAATGTCTCAACTAAAGAGAGTCATTTTGCCCTAAATCACACCCTTTCTGGACTTACCCTCACCTACTGACTGATCATGAAGGGGTATAAAGGTATTACCCTCACCCAGAATGTCACTTGAGTCTAGAGCTACCATAAGATCAGCTAGGACTTTTGTTGCAATTGCACTGAAGATCAAAATCTCTCAGTCTAATCATGCTTCCATCATTCCCCTCAAAATATTACCACTGGAAGCACAACCCAATAAACTCCTGGCACATAAATCCCTATGTTAGAGTTTGCTTTCTGGGAACTTGAGCAGTGATAAGGCGCAACTAGGTTCAGAGTAAAGAATGGAAAACAATATGACATGTAAATAATAAATGTAATATAAATGTCTGGGCTATTATAATATCACAAAATGGTCCTCAAAATGAAGAACATTACCAGATACAAAGAGATTGATTAAGAAAATGAAAGAAATGATAAATTCTTCACAACCTTAGATGTGCATGTACTTACTAACTGAGCTTAAAACTATATAAAGGAAAAACTAAGCAGAATTAAAGGAAGAAACTGACTAGCAGTCCATGGTCATATTTGGAGATTTTATAACATTCCTTACACAATAACCAATTGCAGAAGTAGACACTGTCATCAACATGCTGTAGTTGACAGAGTATACTAACACCAAATAATTATAGATTACACATTATTTTCAAGTATACGTGGAATGTCTACCAGGATGACTGTAAGGTAGGGGATAAAGTAAGTATCATTTCATTTTAAATTAAACTTTACAGAGTATAGTATCTGGCCATAATTAATTAAATTAGAAAGCAAGTAAAATATATGAAATAATCATTAATACTTGAAAATTAAACAACACAATTCTAAATAACTTATGAGTCAAAGTAGAAATCACCAGTGAATTTAGAAAGTACTTAGGACAAAATACTAATGGAAACACCTCAAATCACCCCACATGTAGTCAACTGATCTTTGGCAAAGTAACAAACAGAATACAGTAGAGCAAAGGCAGTTTCTCTAACAAATGGTGCTGGAAAAACTAGTCACACACAAACACACAAAACATAAGCCTAGACACAGACCCTATACCCTTCACAAAAACTAATTCAAAATTGATCATAGACTGACATAAAATGCAAAACTGTAAGTTTTGAATACAACACCAAAGACAGAATCCTTGAAAAATAAATACTGGTAAGCCGGCTTCATTAAAATTAAAAACTTCTCTTCAAAATTCAATGTCAAAAGAATTCAAAGACAAACCACAGACTGGAAGAAAATGTCTGCAAAAGACACATCTGATTAAGGACTGTTATCCAAAATACATAAAGAACTCTTAAAATTCAACAATAGAAAAACAACCTGCTTAAAAATGGCCAAACACTTCAGCAGACACCTCATCAAAGAAGATGTATAGATGACAAAATAAATAAGTAAATAAAAAGATAGTCTACATCACATGTTATCAAGGAAATTCAAGTTAAAACAATAAGATAACACTTCACTATTTACTCGAATGGCCCAAAGCTGGAATACTGACAACATCAAATTCTGGCAAGGATATGGAGCAACAGGAACTCCTATACACTGCTGCATTTCTGATGGGAATGCAAAAGAGCACACCCACTTTGGAAGACATTCTGGCAGTTACTTATAAAACTAAACATATTCTTACCATATGATCCAGCAGTCACACTCCTTGATATTTATGTAAAGGAGTTGAAAATATATGTCCACACAAAAATCTGCACACAGATGTTTATTGTAGCTTCATTCATAATCATCAAAACTTGGAAACAATTAAGATGTTTTTCACTACGTGAATGGATAAATTCTAATATATAGAGTCAATGGGTTATTATTCAGTATTAAAAGGAAATGAGCTTTCCAGCCATGAAAAGACATGAAGAAATCTCCACTGCATATTACTAAGTGAATATCCAATCTGAAAAGCCATATGTACTGTATGATTCCAATTATATGATATTCTAGAAAAGCAAAACTATCTTGCTAGGGTAGAGAGGAGGGAATGGATAAATCAGAGTAAACAAAATTTTTAGGGCCGTGAACATATTCTGTATATTATAATTAAAGTTATGTGTCATTATACATTGTTCAAACACATTGCATATACGATACCAAGAGTTAACCCTACAGTAAACTATGGACTTAGAGATAGGATGATGAGTCAGTGTAGGTTCATTCTTGGTAACAAATGCTCCATTCTGGTGAGTAATAATAATAGAAGAGGCTATACATGCATTGGAACAGAGGGTATATAGGAAATCTCTGTACCTTCCTCTCAGCTGTGTTATGAGCTATAACTGATCAAAAAAAAAAGCCCTTAAAATAATAAAAAAAAATGACTTCAAATTAGAATTTGTGATATGCGAATAAAGCAGTGGCTAATGAGAATTTATATCTTTAAAAGATTATATTAGAAAAGGAGAGGGTTTGAAATCTGTGATCTAAATTTCTACCCTAATAAACTAAAGAAAAACATATTAAACCCCAAGTAAATAAAAATAAGGAAACAAAAAAGAGCCTAAATCATTGAAAGAGAAAAATCTATCATAGAGACAATTTACAAATCCAAAAGATAACCATTAGAGACAATAAAAATATTTAAAAAGATAATAAGAAAATATTATGAACAACCTTATGCCAAAGCATTCACTAATTTATTTATTTATTTCTTAAAAGATTTTATTTATTTATTTGACAAACAGAGATCACAAGTAGACAGAGAGGCAGGCAGAGACAGAGGGAGGGAAGCAGGTTCCCTGCTGAGCAGAGAGCACGATGCAGGGCTCAATCCCAGGACCCTGGGATCATGACCTGAGCCGAAGGCAGAGGCTTAACCCACTGAGCCACCCAGGCACCCCAGCATTCACTAATTTAGATAAAATCAGCAAAATTCTTAAAAGACACAATCTATAAAACCAATCCAATAAAAAATAGGAAATCTCAAGAGTTCTATATCAAATTAAAGAAAATGAATTAGTAATTAAACACTCCCCCCTCCAAAAAAAACCACAACAAACAAACAACAACAACAACAATTCCAGGGTCATATAGTTTTCTTAGTGAATTCTAATAAAAAAAGAAAAATAAAATTTTTATAAATTATTTTTAAAAAAAGTAGGGGGAAACACATTTTACTCCATTGTATGAGAAAAGGATTACTCTCATCTAAAACCTGACAAAGACAGTTAAAAAAAAAAAAAAAACTCTGGATCTATATTTCTCATGAGCATATATGAAAAATTTAACAAAATATTATTAAGTGAAATGCAGCAATAAAATAACCACTGTATCATGACTAAGTGTGCTTTATCCCAAAAATGCAAAGTTTATTTAACATTTGAAAATTTAAAACAAAATTTGAAAATCAAACAGTGCAATTCAATATATTAACAGAATATTATTTCAATGAGTACAAAAAACATTTAATAATATTCATCATCCATTCATGATGGAAAC